TGAAGAAACAAAGTCACCTACATCTTGGATGCCCTGGGGGTAAGCAGATAAACATCACATTTTCATTTTTGGGTGAACTATCCCTTTAACAATGGTAGCAAGTAAACTGATACTCTTTAATTATTTAACTTAAAATATGTTTTTTAGTCTCAAAATGTTCCTTTTTAATGTTCCTGAGCTTTGGAGATCTTTTGTTGAAAACTGTTGTCTTATCATACCTTAGCTGTACTTGCACGGTGAAGTCACATTTGGTCCCAGAGATGTCCCTTTTGAGACAAGAGGGTGGGAGTAAAGGAATGTGTGACAGAGCGTAGGAGAGAAAAGCATACCAAACATTCTACAGGACCGCTCGCTTGGGCACGTGTGATAAGCACTATTGTCTGCTATGTAAGAACAAGAGGAAGATATCGAACAAGACAAGATAAACTACTTAACAGCTGTTTTAAATTCAGCAGTTTTGCAGTTCTGGCTGAAATGTATTACAAGCTCAAAATTAGTTAGGTTATTTCAAGCACACGAACCATGTTACCTTGTCTAACTTTGTAATTTAATATCCCCCCACACTTACATTGAATTGCTGATCTGCTGAACTTGCTGAGGCGTTAGTGCAAACGCGAAACATGTTTCCTGAAACCTCTGACTGCTGTCTGAGGCTGTAAAACAAAAAGAGAGGAGACAATTCTAAAAGATGGAGAACTCATAACATCACTCCATTGATGAAATGACAGAGATGAGACTTGAAGAACTCTGTGAAGGAAGGTCAGCCAAGCTAGTGAGTCGTTTTCATTCTGAAAGTACATCAGTCATTAAGACAAAAAATAAATAAATAAAATAGCTACAAAATAAAATCAAAGAATTTAAATACAAACATGAATAAAACGAAATTTCTACAATTACTACAATCAAATTAAATTGATAAAAATAATAAGGAGTTCAAATGTGTTAACCATTTAAATGTGACTCTCTGCTACCAAAAAAACCCCCCCCACACACACACACACACACACACACACACAGATCGGGGAGCTTACCAACTAGTCAATTTAATTAATTTAGCACTAATTTCGAAAATAGTACTTTCATACTGCATACAAATTTTAGAGAACTGTATGCTTCCAACTTTGTAGAAAAAGTTTGTAGAGAGCTTTTCTATTCCATACAGTCCTAAAGAAATGCTTTATTAAGTCTGGTGTACTGAAGAGGAAAAATGTTTGGGAGGACCAGCTTCCTTGTAATGTAAATGGCTTCTGCTGGTCCACATAATTTTGGTTCTATAACATATATTTCAATATTTTGTGACGGCATCCTTGACCAAGCAAGCATCCAACAGTAAGTAAAGTTAATTATCTTAAACTGATAGCAAAGCAGCATCTCAGTTACAGACACAAGGTTGCTGGTCCTCTTCTGTGGAACTACTTTAAACGCTTGTGCAGTTTAGTTCAAAGCCAAACTCTACAACATAGCTAAAAATAACCTAGGGTTACATAACCCAATCTCCTTAAATGAAGCCAGGGTTTCAGGAGCAAGAGAGAGTGAGAGAGATAAGAGGAAGCTCTATCTGCACCACTACAGGTGCTCCACATCGCACACATAGGTGGCTGAACTCAATGAAAGAGACTGAAATGAGAGGTGCGTTTTCTGCACACTGACCACTTAGTCATGTGAAGAGGAAAATCTATTCCACTTGAAGTGGAGTGAGTTTAACAGTGAGAAGCTGACAGATGATTAATCTGTACTCAAGAGGAAAGAGAGGAGGTGAGCCAATTCTCTGGTGCGCAAAAGATCCATCAACACTGGTTGCCCTCTCAGCTCAAACAACTCAAAATTCTCCAATCATTTTCATCACATTGACCTAGAAAGAATGTTCAATCCAAGGGGCTTCAACTCAATATGGGAGAAGGCCCATTGTGTTTCCTGAAAGTTGCTTGAAAAGCAATTTGATGTTACAGGGTTCTTTGCCTTGCATAGCAAAAAGCACTTCTTATATAGCAATCTGCGCTCAAATTGAACTCTATAAGAGTGCTTGTAAGAAAATGAAACTTGAAATAAGGTAACCTGCTTCCACACTCCAAAATGAGCTACGCATTAGTTAAGAACCTAGATTTGATTCAAACTGCCAGGGTTTCTGCAGACATGAACAAGTTAAATTTAAGACTTTTTAAGACCTTTTTAATACCACCTTATATGAAATTTAAGACCTAAACCTGTAATTGAAATACACATTTTATTACATACATGTAATATTTAATGTGTATAAATTAAAAAGAAAACAAAATATCAATGCTGTAATAAATGGCATTTATTACTACGATATACAGTGCATGTCAGATGTCAGCAGACAATATTCCATACAAAATATCCCTGCAAAATAACTGCATCACTGAGATTGAGTAAACTATAAACTATTTATTCTGAAGCAATATTTTCATCAGTGTTCTATCAGCTTTTACATACTTAAATCTGCATATTTACCTTTACAAAGGCCTATTTTTAACCTTTTTAGATGTATGCATCATCGTACATGTCAAATTATTACAATTTATCAATAAATTCAATATACACTATAGGGCTGCTACCAGTCAGATTAAATAATTTACACTGCAAATAACAATAATTACAGCTGCAATAAATAATGTTATGAGATTAATGTTTTAAATGCATTTATGAGTATACAAATAAGAAATGTTGAGGGGAAAAATGCATACTTTTCAACATACTTCTCAACTAAACTAAAAGTAAGTGAGTGAGTGAGTCATTGGGTCATTCATTCAACTGATTGAGTGTGTTATCATGCTGGTATCTTAAGGACTTTCGTGGACGGCTGACTCCTAAAGTTTTTCATATTCTTCATATTCTGTGTGGTGATCAGTTCATACTGATAGAAATTAATCTTTTCCAATAAGTTTAAACTGATTTTTGCATTTTATGGGCATTTTTACCTTTATAAAGCCATTTTTTCTA